TCTGGTGGTGATGGTACAACCTTATAAATTTGCTTAAAAAATAAATTGTGGCTGGGCATGGTGGCTCACGCCTGTAATCCCAGCATTTTGGGGATTGAGGTAAACGGATCACCGGAGCCAGCCCAGCCAACATGGTGAAACTGTGTTATCTAGTAAAAATACAAAAAGTAGTTGTGCATAGTGGCACGAGCCTATAATCCCAGGTACTCGGGGGGCTGAGGCAGAAGAATCACTTGAACCCAGGAGGCAGAGGCTGCAGTGAGCTGAGATGATCACGCCATTACGCTCCAGCCTGGGCAACAGAGCAAGACTCCATTTAAAAAAAAAAAAAAAAGAAAGAATTGTACATTTAACAAAAAAAAAAAAAAGAAGAAGAATATAAAGAGCCTGCTTTGAACCACTTATAATATTTGAAGAACAGTGAAATTTGGAATCCAGTATTCAAAAAATATTGGTACAACAAAAGAATTTGTAGTCTCTTTGCTTCACAAATTACAACCACATTTGTTCTCACTACAGTATCATCCTGATACGTCAAAGGACAAGTTTAAAACAGTTGTATGTTTGAAAGGCACAAAATGAAATGAAATGGATTTACCATTACATATCTTTAAACATAAAGAATGAAACAGAAGAGGGTGGACCTGAGTTTGGTTTTTATGTTAATATGCTGCTACCTAGTGGTCATTTATAAAATGGCAGGACATGGGGTTTTGTTTTTTATCTTGAATTTGTTGAGCCTTATCTGTACATCACAGCAAATACCTAAATGCTTAGCCATGTGTAGGTTAAACATGTGAATGCATCTCTGAACAATTTATGCTTTGTAAAAATACAATAGTGGCAAGAACTGGATTGCAAGTTTTGAAAATGGCTTTTAGTTCCTGATCAGCTGGTGTCAGCTTTGTGACTTTGAGCCAGGTCAAAATTAATCCGTGGGTACTATCTGGTTCTGAAGTTTTAGGAGCAGCTCTGTAAGGTGGTAGTTAGGAGCACGGCCTTGGGGCTAGCTCTTTAACTGCTCTAAACTTTAGTATCTGAATCTTGAAAATGGGGATAAAAGAATCCCGCCCCTAGGCTAGTTGTGACAATTAAATGTGACAAGTGCATATACAAGTACTATCAGGAAAAGTTAGAATATGACTTGCCCTATCAGAATGTGCCTAATGGGGAACAATCTCTTATTTGCCAATTAAAATTAGCTACTCCTTCCCATCCGATCCCAAAGCAACAAGCAAAAACACCTTAAGTTTTTGAAATATTCTTAGAAACCAAATATTCTTAGAATGATCAGCTGATTTGAAATATAAATTTGAACAATTTAATTTAAAAAATAATAAAGCATAGTAACCGGCATTTTACAAATCATTTGAAATTTGGAATTGCTGACTTATTTAAAACAATAAGGTAGTGACAGAGATGTCAAAAGGTGACTGTTCTAGCTCATCCTCTCACCACTGGTGTCTTATGGAGGTCTGACATGTTTAATGTATGCCAGCCAGCACAATGCTGACCAGAGAAAGTATAATTCTTTCATTTTCCCAAGAATGAAGCCCCACTTTTGTGGGGTTGGTCTTGTTCCTGGGTGTGGTGGTTCATACCTGTAATCTCAGCACTTTGGGAGGCTTGCAGGATGATTGCTTGAACCCCGTGGTTTGAGACCAGCTTGGGAAACACAGCAAGACCTCCTCTCTACAAAAAATAAAAATAAAAAAATTAGCTAGGGGTGGTGACACACATCTATGGTTCCAACTGCTCCAGAGGGTGAGGTGGAAGGATCGCTTGAGCTCAAGAGGTTGAGGCTACAGTGAGCTATGATGACACCACTGTACCCCAGTCTGGGTGACAGAGCAAGACACTATCGCAAAAAAAAAAAAAAAGAAAAATAAATAAAAATAAAATGAGTATCTGGACTACCCCGGAATTATATTTTATTTCTGAAACTGGGGCTCACTCTGTCGTCCAGGCTAGAGCACAGTGGTCCGATTAGGGCTCACTGAAGCCTTGACCTCCCCAGGCTTAGGCGATCCTCCCAACTCAGCCTCCCAAGTAGCTGGGACCACAGGCATGCTCCACCAAGCTGGAATAATTTTTATATTTTTTGTATAGATGGAGTTTCACCATGTTGCCCAGGTTGGTCCCAAACTCCTGGGTTCAAGCGATCCATCCACCTCAGCCTCCCAAAGTACTGGGATTACAGGCATAAGCCACCTTGCCTGGCCCACCCTGGATTTTATTCAATATTTCACAGGTCATAGAAGCAGTTTGCTTCTGTAACTGAAGGGTTTCTACTACCATTTTATTTCTTCACCCATTAGGATATTTCTTTAGGATGTCAACATATCTAGATAATGAATTTTAGTTATTACTTTCTATGCAGCAGTTTTGGCACTGCTTACATAGTTTTTAAAGCAGCCTTATTAAAGTATAATTTAGATGTCATAGAATTCACCTACTTAAAGTGTAAAATTCGATGAGTCTTAGCAAATTTAATCCATTGTCTGCCCATTACCACAATCCAGTTTTAGAACAATTCCAACCAATACTTAGCATTTGACCAGCTCCACAAGGAAAGAATTCATTGGATAATTAGCCTGTGAATTTTAAACCATCTAGATCTAGGAACCAGTCTAGACATTATTTTGAATAAATCAAGCTTTAAGGAAAAACAAACTCTAAACTTTACTCAAAATAGAGAGCCATAAAGCACCTTCTCCCAAGGTCTCTCCAGGGGTCTGTAGGCTAATTAAGAACATAAATTTAAAATATAAATTAAGAATAAAAAATAATGCACATACATGAATACACATATTTTGAAAAGTGTATTTTGTGTAATTCATTATAGTTTATTTCAATAGCCATAAGTTTTTAAGAGACAAAGTCTCAGTCTCACTCTGTCACCGAGGGCTGGGGTGCAGTGGTGCAATCACAGCTCACTTCAGCCTCCATCTCCTGGGCTCAAGCCATCCTCCCACGTCAGCCTCCTGAGTAGCTAGGACCTCAAGTGCACACCACGACACTCAACAGGCATCAAAATGAATTTTTAAAATGTTTCCAGTTATTCATCCAATCTCAAATTTATTTTTTTCAATCTTGTAAATATGATGAGGTGGAATAAGGTGTCCAGGGACTTAAACTTTTGATTTAGTGTATCCTAAACGTATGGAAGAAATATTCCTCCTGTCTGTGATTTGGCCATGCACATTTTTATGGGGCTGGACTGGAGATACTGACTTGGGTACTGGCAGAGGAGCTTCTTCCTTAATGGGATATTTAAGAGGCTCTGATTTTCCCTTGTTTTAAAAATTATTCAAGAAAGAATTAATTACCATGTCCTGCTTCCTGCAAATCCCGTATTCATGGTGTACGACTTCCAACACAGCATCTGTTAAACACATACATACATCAGCTGCAAGAATAACAATCTCGGTATAATGAAAATGCCTCTACCTATTCGTTCTTTGTCCCTGTTTTATCTCTAAGTTCCTCTAAGTTTCAGAAGGGGAGTTATGTATAAATGAACTCCACTTCGGAAATTCCAATTTTCTCTAGTCCTAGAGAGTTACTGCTAACTCCATTCATTTTGACATTTAAATACTATTTTATGTTATTTAAGTGTTCAATATGCACTCGTCCAGAATTATCAAAATACTAAGTTCCTTGTGGTTAGAATAGTTGTTTCAAACTTTCTGTAAATGAATGAATTTTATATTTCTCAAGCACTTAGTCCACATTGAGCATTAAAAAAGCTATTTAATAGGTACCGTTTGATTAATAAATGATACCTCAGGTTTGTCTCCCTTCCTCCAGATCCCCGTAACATTTACATTCATCGCATTGCCCAGATTTCGTAGACATTACAGATTTTCTGTTCTACGGCCCCCATAAGAACGTTGCAGGTGCCACGCCATATGTCTGGGACATATGGTCCTCAATAGCTTGTAATATGAAACTATTTCTATTGCAATAAATCTAGTATCTATTCCTCCCTTTTTGTTTACTAATAAGTTTTGATTACAACTTCAAATTTTAAAAATCGAGGGAGGGAACTGTCCCCTTCTATGTAACTTCATCCTTGATTTTTAAAATTGCAAACGCGTATTAATCAGTAAAAAAAAAAAAAAAGTTTGACAATACAAAATGATACGGCAAAATTCGCCTTCACCAAAAGTCATCTCTCTCCCCCTCCGTGGTTTCCACGCTGAGGCTTGTCACTTGGGGCTTCCACGCTGGACGAGCCTAAAGAACATCCAGCGCCTGTCCACGGACCGCCCGCTTGCCAACTCTCGGACCTCGCGTGAGTCTCTCCAACCCGAGTCTCGGGATCGCCCCCAAAACGCTGAGCTGAGAGAGGAGAGCCGTGTATGCGTAATCACTTCGGGAAATTTAAAGCAAGAGGCTAACTTAAAGCATTGTAGCGGGTCCTAGAGAAGTCGTCGTGCCTGCCTACGAGAGCCTTTTCAGTTCACCGCAGCAGCTTCCAAGGCCCCCCCCCCCGCCGCCGCGGTTTCCTGCACCGCAAATCTCGAGGCTCGACCCGCGGCGGCGGCTCTCCCCGGCCTCCCACCCCAGGGACGGGGCGCGCCAGCCCGGGTCAGACACACCCGCGAAGCCAGGGCTATTCAGCGGCTGCTAACGCGCTCCCCCTAGGGCCGCCTCTCAGTTTTAAACGTAAGCGAGTTGCCTTTCCCTCTTCCGAGATCAGCAAACCTAAGCTTCCTTTCTTCTGGAAGCCTCGCCCGCTTCTAAGCGCCCTACCAGCCTCAGCCACGCCCCATCCGGCAAACGCCGGGTCCTCCACGCCCCCTCGCTTTGAATTTGATTTCGGCGCGCACCTGACCTGAGGGCGGCTGTGATTGGCTGGAGGTGGGTGAAGACGAAGGGCGGAGAATCATGGGAGGGATTAAGACTGCAGGAGCTGAGTGATGATTGGTTCCTGAACAAAGAGGGCGGAGTAAAAGGCGGAAGCAGGAACTGGGGGCGGGGCTTTGTGAAACTTGGGGGACCCAGCGAGATGGAAGTAGTTAGGTGTCCGGAGCACGGTAAGGGGCCAGAGTCTCATTCTCCCCTAGGGCCTGTCCATCTAGCGTGGCGTAATCGTTGTTCACTTTCTTCTCTCCTCAGGGACTTTCTGCTTTCTTAAGACCGGCGTCCGCGATGGCCCGAATAAAGGAAAGAGCTTCTACGTGTGCCGGGCAGACACGTGCAGCTTCGTGCGGGCCACCGAGTAGGTCTCCAGCTGCGCCCCCCTCCCTGTGGCCGCCAGGGACTTCCGGAGAGGAGCTGCCGGCTCCCCGCTGTCTGGCGCCACAGGGACGAGGAGTGGCGGGGCCCTGGTCAGCGGTGTGAGACCCTTTAATCAGTTGATAATCCCAGGGCAGCGTGGCATGTTCGGAAGACGCCCAGCTAATTCTGCCTGTGTGACCCGAGGCTAGTTACTCTCCCTCTCTGGGCAGACAATTCCCTCTTGTGTAAAACGGAGGCTCCGGTGTTTTCCAGCTTGGCTTTCTATTCACCAGACAGGCCTTAACCACTCCCTTCTCGTGCCCAGACAGTCCCACCCCCTTTAAAGGACTAAGGAAACACGGCAGACAGTGGAAAGTAATTGGTCCTTGTTTTGCACTAGTTTTAGGCCCAAATGTTGTTTTAAAGTTTGAGTTTAAAACACTCCTGGTAGCCTTTTTATTTTTAAATAGGATTCTTTGCATCTAAATGGCGAAATTGATAATTCAAAGAAATTAGCTCTAGAAGAAACAACGGAGGGTGACTCCTGTAATCCCAGCACTTTGGGAGGCCAAGGCTAGCGAATGGCTGGAGCCCAGGAGTTCGAGACCAGCCTGGGCAACATGATGAAACCCTTTCTCTACGAGAAATTTAAAAAATTGTCTGGGCATGGTGGCACACACCTGTAGTCCCAGCTACTCAGGAGGCTGAGGTGGGAGGAGAGAGTCAGAAATGTTAAGTATCTTCTCTAAAGTGAGGAAAGTTAATACTTTGTCAAATGTTAATGTTTTCGCATTACCAAGTGCCTACATTTTCTATGTGAATTTTAAAACTATCATCATTAAACATAAGCTGTCTGTTCAGCAGAACTTGGTAGAGAAAAGTTATTTTCCTCCATGTCAGATGTAAAGCACATAATGGAGATCAGTATTAGAAAAGTGACCTTTCAGTATGTATATTAACTTCTCATGTTTCTGTTTCATGAGTTAGATGATTTACACTGAGCCTCTGAGATACAGTACTTAGGTCAAATTTTGTGAAATAGAAGCATTTTTATGTTTGCAGGAATTAAGCATTCTTGGTGGCTTAAGATTTGGTTTTACATTAAGAGGAGCATTCTTACTTAGGGTCCCATCTACACAGATGCTCTGCTGTACAAACTAGTACAGTGATATTTGAAGACAATTATTTGATGAACTTAATTTATTTGGAATATATCTGATAACCAAAATAGAGGCCAAAAAAGGTACCACAGGTATAGGAGAGTACTTTAGACGTTCACTCAAACCTGTTTACTTTCAAATGTTACATATATTTAAAATGTTTGATAGTAATACATTGGAAGGGAGTGATTAAAAAACTTACACAAAGCAAGAAGCATATAGTGGGTGTTCTTAGAGGTAGGCATGTGAATAACACTAAGTGACAGCTATCAGGTTATTAAAGGGAAAGGATGAAGAAAGAGCCTGGACAAAATTATACAGGGCCTCACAGCCAGTCCTAAATATGTCCTTCATAGGGGTATCACAGTGTAGAGGTTATACAGTGCAGTGAAGTTTTACACTTTTGAGTCATCAAGAAACGTAGTTATGCTTTCTTTGAGAAAGTGGGTAAAGATGAAAGCTAGGGACTCCTTTCCCAAAGGAATGCACACAGCTGTAATAATGTGTGGGAACTGCAAACCCAGTAGAGGTCATACATAGATTCTTGGTGTAAAAACCCATAGTTTTGATTTGACTTTAGGATATTGATCTCTATTCCTGGCCTCCTAAAAATGTTTTCAACTTTTTTCTTTTCTCTAGCATTCCTGTTTCTCATTGTTTGTTGCATGCGGACTTTGTGGTAGAGCTTCAGGGTTTGCTTCTCCCACAGGGCAAGAAAGAATACAGGTAAGGGTCCAAAAGGAACATCTAAGTATACTTGCTTTTTTTTTTTTTTTTCTCCCTGAAAGAGTTACAGCCAGGTATGTGTTAGGATTGTTCTTTAAAAGTCATTTTAAAAAACAAAATTTGTATATGTATGACATATCTTTTGGGCTGTCACTCCCTGACTGCTGAGCAACTGGTTAATCTGAGAAGTCTGATTTCTAGTAATTTCCACATAAATGGCTCTACAATCATCCCTCTCCTACTGCCAAGTAGCCTATAATGTCAGCCAACCAGTGACCACTAACTTTCACTTAACTTGTCAACCTTTTAATTCTGGTAATAGAACAAGGTAATAGGTAAAAATGGCTAACATATATTTAGTCCTCAATAAATGGTAGTTTCCTTTCCTTTATATGGGAATTTGGGAAGGGCAGAGAAGTCTATAGAGATAGGAAATATTTGTCATGAGTAGTCAAAGATAAAGTAGGAATTCCCTGAGTGTTAGAGTGTCGTGCGTCCGGGACCCCCACGTCTGCCGGGGGTCTCTCGACCTGCAAGAGGGTCCCAATACCTGGAAGAGGGAGTGCGCCTGGAAAAATAATAAAGACAGAGAGAGAGAAAACGAGGCATCCGGAGGGCTGATAGGCTGTGCCTAAACAGCAAATTTTATTTTTCAAAGGCCAGGAATAAATACACTTTCTTGGCTCTGGTTTACCTCATAGCAAGAGGAATGCAAATGTATGCCTCACATGACCTATACAATAGAGAAGTCAGATACGCAATCAGTGGTTGTAAAAAGTAACAGAATTTCCTGTAATCACAAAGCTTGTTTACATCCAAACATTATTCCTCCTGGCTGCAGGTATCTCTGGTTTGGCCTTGTTTTAGAACGGAGATGTGAAAAGGTTTTCTGGTTTTGCTCATCAGAATATCTTTTAATCGATTCTCCTTTGTCTACTCCTGACTCAATTTAACTCAACTTCCCCATTCAGGAGTCTCTGAGTCAGAAATCAAAGCCATCCCATATGGTGGCATTTGCTTTGCAAATATCGACAGTTAAACCATTATCTAGGGTACAAGGCAGTCAGGTAAAGAAAAAGGTTTAAGGCTTATTCTTAAAGAGGGAGTCATAAAAAGGTTAAAAGCAGGAACCACCGGCAGGAGGCCACTTGGTCTAGCAGCAATGCATAGCTTTAGGCCCAGATGGTATTGTGGTTGATATTAGAAACTGATCATTCATCTTTCAGATCCTCTTTCCGGATAGCTCGACTGCCTCCAGTAGGAAACTGTGTTTGGGATCAAACTCACCGTATAGTGAGACTCATGCCTTTTGGGGGCCTCACACGGGAATGTTTCCCACATTAGAGAGGGGTCATATTTAATGGATTAATACATTGCATTAGAGTACTGAGGCATGGATTAACATGGCATTTTCAGGGAAGATTTGATCTGTTAATAGCTTAACATATCTTTAAACTTTAGGAGATAAGGCTGGCCAGGAAGGTAGGGGTGAGGATGTGATAGTCTTTGTGTGATATTCTATGCACTTCAGAATTTATGTATTCGAGATCCCTCCACCCAGTTAAAGGCATTTGAGTACCACCCACAATTTTTACATACCTGAATACTGTTTATACTTCTATTTTTCTTTATTTAGTTATGTTTATAGTAAGATACACAAATCTGAAGAGTTCAACCAGTTGAGTTTTAAGAATGTACGTACCTCCTCATAAAACCAAGATCTGAGTCAAAATATTACCCCGATAAGCCCCATCAGTTCCCTTCCAGTTAATTCCACCCCTCCCATCTCCACCCCCATCAGCAATCACTGTTCTGATTTTTATCTTCAGACATATTTTGCTTGTTCTTGAACTTTATTTAAATGAAATCATACTGCATGTACTCTTCTGTGTCTGACTTCTTTTACTTAACAATGTCTGTGATATTTATATCATACATATCAGTAATTCATTTTTTTATTGTGGAGTTGGATTTCATTTATAAATGCACCACTTCGTTTTGTGTGCTTATTTGTCATCAGAAAATCTTGAAGTATCTGTTTAAATCTTTTGTCTTTTTTTTTTTTTTTTTGCTTTGAAATTTTTATCAAGTAGTTTTAGATTCACATCTAGTTGTAAGGAATAATACAGATAAATTGCCTGTAGACTTTATCCAGTTTCCCCCAATGGTGACATTTGCAAGACTTAGAAATATATCACAAACAGGATATTAATAGTGGTACAACCCACCAGTTTTATTGGTAAAGATAGTTTTGCTTGAACTGATTTATGGGTGTGTGTATATTTAATTCTATACACTTTTATCCTGTCAGGTCATGTATCTACCATTACAGTCAAGGTACTGAAGAGTTCCATCACAGGAGCCCTCTGTTGCCCTTCTGTAACCATACCCACTTCCCTCCCTTCTGCCCTCCTCACCCTGACATCAGGAATTTGTTCTTCATTTCTAAAATTTTGTCATTTCAAAGTTGTTACATAAATGGAATCAATCATACAGTATAACTTTGGAGATCTTTGCCTACTTCAAAATTTTTGTTGTCTTTTTTTTTTTATACTGAGTTAGAAGAGTTCTTTATAAATTCTCTATACAAGCTAGGCCATGGTGGCTCATGCCTGTAATCCCAGCACTTTGGAAGGCTGAAGTGGGCAGATCACTTGAGGTTAGGAGTTTGAGACCAGCCTGGCCAATATGGTGAAACCCCATATCTACTAAATAAAAAAAGCAGAACAACAACAACAAAAATTAGCTGGACATGGTAGCACACACCTGAAGTCCCAGGTACTAGGGAAGCTGAGGCAGGAAAATCACTTGAATCCAGGAGACGGAGGTTGCAGTGAGCGGAGAATGCACCCCTGCACTTGAGCCTAGGTGACGGGGGAGACTCCTTCTCAAAAAAAAAAAAAAAAGTCTATATGAGTTCTTTGGCAGATATTTGTATTGTGAATATTTTTTCCCAGTCTGTGGTATGCGTTTTCTTAATTATTTTTTGAAAAGCAAATGTTTTACATTTTTTTGAAGTCCAGTTTATTATTTTTGTATGGTTTGTGCTTTTTGTCTTCTCTCCGAGAAATCTTTGCCTGCCTCAATTTCACAAACATATCTAAGATTTGTCTAGAAGCTCTATAGTTTTGTTTTGTTTTGTTTTTTGGAGACAGAGTTTTGCTCTGTCACCCAGGCTGGAGTGCCATGGTACAATCTTGGCTTACTGCAGCCTCTGCCTTTTGGGTTCAAGCAATTCTCATGCCTCAGCCTCCCAGGTAGTCCCAAGTAGCTGAGACTAGAGGGCACACACCACTAACTTTTTTGTAATTTAGTAGAAACGGGGTTTCACCACATTGCCTAGGGTGGTCTCGAGCTTCTGAGCTCAGGCAGTCCACCCGTCTCGTCCTCCCAAAGTGCTAGGATTACAGGTGTGAGCCACTGTGCTTAGCTTGTTTTTTTTTTTTTTTCCAAGTACCTGTTTCATATAGGTCTATTATCTATACTTCAAATTACTTTTGTGTAGTGTAGTATTTTTGCACATGTTACAATTGTTTTAGCATCATGTTTTGAAGATTGTCCTTTCCCCATTGAAATGCTTGGCATCTTTGTAAAAAATCAATTGATCTAATATATGTGAGTCTGTTTCTGGGGTCACTAATCTGTTTCATTGATCCATTTGCCTACCTTCGTGTAATTAATGAGATAAAATAGTGTGAGTCTTCTGACTTTATTCTTTTTCGAGATTGTGTTGGCTACTCTAGGATCTTTGCATTTCCGTATAAAATGTAGAATAAAAACAAACTAAAAAGTAAATACAAATAAAATGTAGAATCAGTTTTAAAATTTTCCACAGAAGACCCTGTTGGGATTGCATTGAATCTAAATAGATCAATTTGGAGAGAACTGTCAATATTGAGGCTTCTAATCCATGAACATGGCACATTTATTTACGACTTTAAAAATGTCTCTCAGCATTGTTTAATAGTTTTCATTACAGAGCTCCTATACATCTTTTGTTAAATTTATTTCTCAGTGTTTATGATTTTTAGTACTGTTGTAAATGGAATTCTTTTAAAATTTCATTTTTGGATTGTTTTCTGCTGGTACAGTGGAGCTGGTAAGCCTTTATTGCATGAAGTTATTATATTCTCCTGACACTGAAAATCATGTACATGCTACTAGCGGCCCTTTACCATACAGATGCACTGTGGTAGGTCTTAGGAAGCCATTGAAGGAGTTTTGATCCAATTTACATTAAAAGAAGAATTATGGAGGACCGATTAGAAAGTGAAACAAAGAGACCACTGAAATAATAGCTGCCATTGAAAGCCCACTACATCCTTTTTTTTTTTCTTTATTGGTAGAGACAAAGCTCACTGTATTACCCAGGCTACTCTCAATCTCCTGGGCTGAAGCAGTCCTCCCGTCTCAGCCTCCCAAAGTGCTGGGATTATAGGTGTGAGCCACTGCACCTAGCCTCTTCATTATCGTTTGCCTTCATATAATTTGTTGTGATCTATTTCAGTGTCCCTGTTTACCAGACAGATGAAGAAGCTACCACTGAGACAGGTCAGAAAGGGAATCGGAGGACCCATGGTTATGCAGTGGCATTGCTGGGATTTAAACCCAGGGCCAACTGATTCCAGACATGCCAACTTTCTTTTATGAGACAGGTGATGGGCCTGAATTGAGGCAGTGGCAGTGGAATTGGGTGCAGTTGGAATGGAGAAAACTTTGAAAGAGCACTGATAAGATGTATTTCCTGGCAGGGCATATAAGCAGGTTCCTTCCTCCATTTTCTATCTGGAATAACACTCAGGAAGTTGGTGGTTCCAACTTCCCTGAGTTGGAGGACTTGGAGACAGAACGTGTTTGGCCTCAGTCTGGTGTTTGGCACATTGTCAGTGTTCAGTAGGGAGATGGTTGCTAAGGTGGAGTTTCTTTTAAAAAAAAAAAAAGAAAAAAAAAAAATATATATATATATTATTGCACTTTAGGTTCTGGGGTACATGTGCAGA